GACGGGAGCCTTGGCGCATGTGCACTGAAGAGCAGACTTTTGACCGCATGAGCAAGTGGCCTTTTGGGCTGGAGAGTTGTTAACTTTGTGTTGTGTAGACCTGAGATGATGTCACATACCACAGGCGCATTCACTGGCACCATCGCTGGAGCGGCAGCAGGTAGTAGGAGTGTTGACAACCATTTTGATGGATTAGAGTGTTGTATAAGTTGATGTTTGAGTGTGTTGGTGATTTGAAGAGCTGATATCTCGAAAGAAGAGTGAATTGAATTGTAAAGTGCTTGATTCTGTTCCTTCTCTTCTGGATGCGGCGGCTCGTCGTATTTGTACTTTATCGCTTTTAGAGAGCTGTATCCACTTTATCTACAGCTCCAGAGCTATAGACCTTCAGGCTGGTAATCATCATCGCTGTAATTGGTCAGACTCTGCTGACACGGCCGCGTCAGCCAATCAGCAATTGCTTATTCTTTCTTTGTCGATTCTCGCCTCCCGGAACATGCCATGCTGATTATGCGTCTGTCAGCCGGCGAGCTATGACACGCTAACACATCTTAGCAGTTTCGCTGAGTCCGTTATTGGCTCATCAACTATCGATATCTGAGACAACAAGACCGCCTTTTGGTGGTCCATCTTCGTATCTGCTTATCTATTTTTTACATTTACGAGTTGGAATTTCACGGCGACAAGGCTATCATAGAGTTGCGGGATAAAGAGAGAAAGAGTTCTGAATATTATTGAAGAATCTGGGATTTGAGAGTAGAATTGTACGCTTCGGTAGATCGTGCTATATTGATCATTTCACTTTGGACTGCTGTCCATGGGTATATCGATAAGAGGCGGCCAAGAGTAAGGTATGTGATCGTGATCAGACCAACCATCCACCACCCGCGATAGAACTCCTCGCCAATATGCGCCGTCATTTGCGAGTGGGCAAGTAGGCGGCCATATCTCCAAAACATCTTGAAACGCCTTCACCGTCATTTTCAATGAACTGGAATATGGGTTGTTTTTGTGCAGGAGTGCAATTAGGAAGACTTCCACAAACCCATTTAGGACCGTCTGATTTTCAATAACGGATAGGCTCAAATCTTTTCCAACGTTAAATCCTAACACCTTGAAGTAAGAACCAGGCGCAAGACAGCCAAATTCACCCTCGGCGTTGTGCTTGAGCCACGCTAAAGAGCTGGTCTTTCCTATAAGATCAATAACTGCCTTAGTATTCAGCTCCAAAATAATGGTATCTTTGCGTAAAGCCTCCAGCATGGAAATAGCATTGTCGACTGAAATAAATTCCACAATTCTGGCTCGCACGTTGAATAACTCAGCTTGGAATGTTGCCTTTAAGCTTGCACCTGACTGCAAGAACATTTGAACGTATTCCGAGATCCGTTGACCTCGCTCAGGAGCAAGCAAACGCATGATGAGGAATCTGAACCAAGGACTAGCCGCCTGATGTTTGTATGTCCTCAAGGCATGGACTGTATTCCAGTTGGGACTATATCCCTGTCCCAGGATGTATTCGATCAGTTGCAGTATTCTGGTATCAACGAACTCATGGCTGCAAAGATCGAAGAGAAGGCAGTATATTCCCTCCGGCGTAGTTGTTTCAAGGTCGTCCAGGAGACAACGAATATCACTAACCCTTCCGTAAGAAGCTGCATAGTGTAGAAATTGATCTCCGGCGTGTCGAAGCTTCCATTTCAGAGAGCTTTTACGGGTTTCGCGCATATGTCCTCGATGGAAACACACTCGTGCAAGCTCCAGGGATGATCCTATGATACCCCGAGGGCAATTACGTTGCTTTCCCCAACGGAACAAAACCAACAACATCCATCGAATGTTAAAACCAAAAGATAATTCAGACTCTGAATTTTCAGAAATAAGCCGGCTGTCAGCTATTAGTGACTTAAAGTACCGTGTCAAAAGCTCTTCTTGGGGAATGACATAGGGCTGCCATAGGCCCCGACCTTCTACCGTGTCGAGTAGAAAGTCCCTGGCAGATCGATGAGAGAAGGAGACTTGCTCAATGAAACCATCCCTTGCGAAAAAGTCTGTCCCAATAGATTTTCTCTTTAAATGCAGAAGTCCGGCAAATGCAGCTTCCAACGTATCCTTCATGATTTTGACTTTCTGATCCAACTTGCTTTCCTGTATTGCATCACCACGGTCAACATATCTTTCCAAAAGGTCAGGATTCGTAATCATGGTGAGAATAAATGGTGTCAAATGCCATTCTCGATCATACCACATCGAGCGTGAAGCCAAATTGAGCAAGTTCAGGACTAACGAGATATCTCTTTGATATAATGAGCGATCTGGGGCTGATCTGGATAAGATGTCATGGTACAACTCCATTAAATCGAGGGGCATGGACCGTAGTCGTGTAGATGTTTGTTCGCTGCTATCTCCATTGTTGATGCCTCGAATCAGAGATTGCGTAACCAGCACAGCCCAAAGGAAAATACCGTCAGACAAAATGGCTATCTCACTGGCTAGATTAGAAATGTTTCGGCCCCGAGGTTGCAACAGTGTTGACTCGGCCATGGCTTCGTGAGAGTATTTGGCGATATCGAGCTTTGTCAACTCATGCATCTTGAGACTCGGACAAGTATCAAAGTGTAGTCGAAAAAAGGCGCTCAGGTCGGCTTGAAACACAAACCTTGACGCTGGCATTTGTAGCAGTCAAAGATTTGAGCAATTGAAGTGTTTTCAAGACGTCCTGCCCAGGCAACGCTTCGTCGAGGCCATCAACAAATAAGCATATGGGCTGTGAAGAGTACTCGCAGTATTTGATCAGGACATTGCTAAGTTCTTGTTGACTCCAATCAGCTGGTAAGATCTTCTGACATTTCGTCGTCATGTCATGGACTATTTGAACAGCGTCGGGGTTCTTCGACAACAGCTCCCATAATAAAGAACAAAGTAGTCCCTTGTAAGATTGTTGAAATCCTGTCCCTGGTTTCCAGAAGAAGTGAGAAAGAATAAGGGTGTCTTTTCGCCACTTGGTCAAGTACTCGGATGTTTCGCTGTTTGCCGACAGATATTTCATAAGGGTGCTTTTTCCAGAGCCAGGGTTTCCAGTAATCCAATAGCATGACTCACTAGAAACAAGCCAGTCTGTAAAGGAATCCCATTTCTTGTCGAATCCCAAGCTGTAAATTTTGTTATCGTAAGCTGGTTATGAATGCCTAGTCCCAAGGACCCATTGAAATGTGGTTGAGGCTGGAGGGTTGAGGTCATTCTTTCTTTCGTTAATTTCCGGGAAGCGAAGGCTGTTGATAAGAGTCTCTCGAAGCTTCTGTTCTTCTGCTTCTGATTCCATTTGTCTATCCTTGGTCAGTAATGGGTTATCTAGAGGAAGCGGGAGGTTATAAGGATGTCGCTTACTGTTTTGACGAATCCCAGTATTTGAGAAATGCTTTTGTGCAAGCAGCAGCAGATGCAGCAGCAAATTCATGCCAGTCATCATTTTTATGACTATCGGCATAATCAGACACGCCCTTGATGACAACACACGGAAAGACCTCCCAAACTCCAACACTCTCCATTTCAAAGCCTATGGCGTCTTTGCTGGCTGCGAGTTGGTCGCGATATTCTGCTGACTTTATCACCATATCTCCAGAAGCAAATTTCCCGTAATGAATCTTTGGAAACAGAGTTTCACTATTGGGGCCCACGGGTGACCTCTCGTTGTCATTTTCATCCTCGCATAGCCGTTCGCGTGAAAGACGTTGTTGAACATCACAGTTGAGAACCTTGCAACTCGAACTGAGAGCAACGTCGCAGACAGGGTCCGACTTTCCGTTACAGGCAGCACAGATAGTACAGTCTGAAGGATCCTGGTGTTTATGGCGATAATCCGCTGGGAAAAGATTGTCGTGCAAGCCCTCAAGATAGCCATCTGGAATATTTGTTTCTTTCATTGCCTTCTGTAGATGTTTCTGGGTTGCGATCCGGAGTTTGCCTTGTTGCCTGTTTGTCTTGAGCTTCGAGAAGAGGGACCTTAATTCAAGACCTGGTCTTCCAAGGTTGTCTTCCAGAGTATCCTTCGTTTTGAATTTGTCTGGAAACCGCTTGCCGAGGTCATATTGCACGACTCCCGTGCTAATAATCACATCTCCAAGCACGATCTCGTCGTTCTCTTTTCCGTAAAATGGCACTCCACCACAAATACCAACAACAAGCGCCAAACTAATCTCTGGATAGCTCATTCTGCAAAAGGCTGCAATGTTTCCTGCTGCACCCTTACCCATGCCAGGTAGATGTGCTAGAACCACGTTATGTTGCCCAATAACTCCGGTTGAGTATGCGTTTGGGTCACCACGAGTTTTGCCGAAAGACATACTGTCTTCATCTTCCTCCCAATGATCAAACAGGGCAAGAACAGCATTGGCCTCAATTGTAAGAGCGCAGATAATTGCGATCTCAAAATCCTTTCTTGATTTCGGGCGCGGCGGCCTGTTTTGAGACATGTTTGGTGATGACCGAGAAGTTTGAGGATAGATGAACAACGTCTGTGAGGGGTTTCGGTGAATCGTGCTCATCATTTCAATCCCTGTAGGTCATGCGAGGCTGTGTTGAATCTGCATGTCAGACATAGACAATTACATTTTGCCTTAACAACAGGGATTACTGCACACAACCAAGGCATTAGTCCTTTTATAGTGGGAGACATAGAATAAAGAGGAGAATGAAGAACATATATTTACAAGGCTATAAGATTAGCAAATGATTTATATTCGGCAGCTGGGTTATGAAAAAATAGGGACTTAAAGCGGTATGAATGAAATAATTAGTCCACTTTTAGGTTTCGCATACACTAAGAGTAATATAAAATTTATGATAAATGCTAAATCAGTATCGGGTTTTATGGAACCTACCTGCTCGGATCAGTTGAATGCGATGTTTATCCAAATTCTATAGGGTGTTAGTTTCGAGGATAATAGCAGTACATATACTTAGAGTCGCTGGGCTTAGTCATCGATCAAATCTCGACTATCGGTCCTATAGTTTAGTGGTAATGACGTTGGATTTTGATACCCATCAAAAACTTTCCGAAGACCCCGGTTCGAACCCGGGTAGGACCTCTCTTTTTGATGTTTTGTCGCAGTGAGCTCAAGACACGACCAAGCTGAGAATCCATCGCGACAGACGAGATAGCTATAATGATATCTTACCGGCTCAATTGGAAGCCCTTTCATCTCGCACGCGTACTATAGAACCTTGACACGCGTTGACGATCATTTTGACCATACACCGTAAGAGGCCGATCTCGGAGGGCGGGGTACCATCAGTTCATCGAACCTGGTAAAGGACCATACATATTGACAACAACTTGGCGAATGAAGTCTTTGGTCTATCATACCGGCCGTGTTTCTAGGTACCTCAACTATGTATTAGGAACTCGTTCAATTCGTATAAGTGCGACCCGACATCCAGTTTCTGCGCCATTTTTGCAGTGAAGCTAAAGCCGGATCTTGAGTGACACGGACTCACCTCTATTTAAACTAGCAAGACCCATTTCTGGAACCTTTCCCTAGATCTTCTCCACGCTCGCATAATGTCTCCTCTTAGCTCATCTGAGACCACGGAGTCCACCATCGTGGTGATTGGGTGCGTGCTCATCCATCTGTTCCCCATGCTATGAGCTGACGACTGTAGTGCTGGGATCATCGGCTTGACCAGCGCCCTCAAGATCCAGCAATTAATAGCAGAGTCTCCATCCGCTGCATCAACATCTGTGCTTCTCGTCGCTAAGGAATGGCCAACTTCAATTCCGGGAGCTCCAATTGCTCACTCGGCTGATTATGCTTCTATGTGGGCTGGCGCCCATGTCCGACCCATCCCCGCATCAACTCCTCAGCTTCGCCGTGAAGCGAAATGGGTGAAAACCACCGTCGTTGAGCTGGAGAAGCATCGCCAGAGTGAGCCCGGAGTTGGAATCCGCCGTCTACCGGGAATCGAGTACCTCGAGGATCCGCCGGCGGAGTATGTCAAGCAAGACGCGACAAGTTTCACTGCTGAGACTGGATTGCCGGGATATCGCAAGTTCGAGATTCGTGAGCTTCCGGAGGACGTAAAGCTTGGATTCGAGTATGAGACATATTGCATTAATGCGCCGTTTTACAGCGCCAATCTACTCCGGAAGTTCATTGTTCAAGGTGGCAAGACTGTCCAGCGGGACCTGAAGAGTGAATGGGAAGCCTTCATTCTGGCGCCTGACGTGAAGCTTGTAGTCAATGCAAGCGGAATGGGTTTTGGAGACGCAAAGTGCTTCCCTATCAGAGGTATGTCGAATGATCAATTCATGCTCACAAGCACTAAAATTAGCCAGGTCAAACGGTGTTGACAAATCTCACTGCCGCCGACAAGACTATCACAACACAAAAGAAGGACGGAACGTGGAGCTTCGTCATACCCAGGTCTTTCAATGGCGGAACAGTCATTGGCGGCACCAAAGAAATGGGCAAATGGGATCTCGAGCCATCACAAGAGACGCGTAATAAGCTACTAAAGGCAGCGGAGTCCATCATTCCCCAAGCATGCAGCCAGGAACAAGACGTTGGCTCGCTGAAGGTGATCAAGGATGTCGTTGGGAGAAGACCAGCTCGTGAAGGAGGCATGAGAGTAGAGACCGAATCTAAGGATACTACTTGGGGTGTTAAACATGTTGTGCACGCTTATGGAGCCGGGGGACGTGGTTATGAGCTTTCTTGGGGCGTGGCGAGTGAAGTCGCGGAGCTTGCGAAGGAGGTACTTGGCTCGCAGTCAGAGGTGAAAGCAAAGCTCTAGACTAAGTCTTGGCTTGCAGACTAAAGAATATTGTAGAATTATGTTGAGCCCAAGCAGGCGGGTAGCAAGAAAATCGGGACTTGAAGCAGTACAGACGATATTGTTAGTCCATTCTTAGGCTATAAATATACTAAAGATGATCTAATATTTATGCCAATAATACAGACCCGCAATGCTAAGTATTTAATACGCGTGAACTCATAAGAAGCAAGCATCTTCATCAGACAGACCCATTCTCGATCATTGCAAATATTTCCATTCGTTCTTATTGTGTCAAGATAAGTTAGAAAATAAATTAACTAAAAAATGAAAGCACATTTGTTGGTTAACTCTGTTTTTCGTAATTTGTGTGACTGATAGGCGTAAACTTGAGACTTTGTTCCTAGTGCCGACCCTGTTCCCCTCCGTTTCGATGATCCTGTATTGAACCATACACTATTTCTGGTTCCTGAACTGGAGCTCTGTTCTGTGAAAATTCTGGAAAATCCGTGTCCTCATACAAATCGACTGGCGGATCAACTGGCCGTCGTTTTTCACTTCCATGCACCGGCACCGGCTGGGCTGGGTTTATGACGACATCTACCGTATCATCTATACAGCTGACCATTTGGTCCGTCTCAATACCTTCCCACCCTCTGTAGATAGTTTCGTGAAGAAGAATAAGCCCTCCGTGACCGCTCCTCGAAGCGCCCTCACCAATGGATAAATCATCACAGCTAGCAGACATATGTCGATTCTCAGAGCTCTCAGCTGGACCGAATTCAGGCTCAGATAAGTAGACGAACTTGCGGCGGCTGGTGAGGTACTTGTATTTGACCACGCCTATAAAGCCGAGGAACCAGAGGCCTGAGAACCCCAATATGCTCCACGAAATGACAGGCACTTTCCACCAGTCTAGGGACTCCTGGCTGAAAAGCTTTGATGGGACCCAGACTGTGATGATTGGGTAGAGGTTCCCAACTAGATAGAGGAAACCACAACCGATACTCAACTTCGGATTCACAGACCTTTGAATCATCTGAGCCCAGCTTCTTTGCACAGGACCCTGATTTGGGACTTCATGGTGTCGACGTGTCAAGGTTGGTTGCGTTTTCGGGGGACCACGAAAATGTAGAATCAGAATGCCAAGGGAAAGAAAGAAGCCAAAAAATGCTGATGTCAAATAAGCAACAAGTCCAGAAAGAATGGCGTAGGCATTGCTTGCTGAAGTGTTGTACGTGGCCAGAATGAGGACGATACAGCTGGTGAAGTGGAGGACGAGGGCGCCGACAGGCGTCTCCTCTAGGTGATTGGAAGGATTGAGAAACTTGAAGAATCGGTTGCGTGGTTTCCGACTACCAATGATCTTTCGAGTATCCTGGTGTCTGTTCTCGACGGGTTGGTCTGTGGGTTTACGTTCTCCTCCTTGAAGCCACATGAGAAACCTGCCAAGACTAACGTCTCTGTTCCTCCCCAAAAAGCTGGTAAAGGGGAGGAAACCCTGCTTAGCAATCTCTTGCTTCATACGTGCCGCTGTGTATGTCATGACGACAATATTGCCAAACGCTGATATGGCTAGGAACGCATTGACGGCACGCTTGATTTCGTAGCTCTTCGAGTCTGGTGGAGAAGCGTCGAAGATATTGTAGAAAAACTGTTGTGCCACATTTTCCTGCTCTTGTTCACTTACTGGGACGACCAGCATCTGCGATGGACATGTGTTAGTCGAGGATGCAATAGAGAATACGGAGACAGCTTGATCTTACATAGCAGATGTTGACGGCCATATATAATGTCGACACCAGGATGACACCCCACCACATGGATCGAGAGTAAGTCTTTCGAGGGTGCTTGATCTCTCCCAGAACCTTTGAGTAGAGTCAGTATTTATCTGCTGCGATGAAGGCAAGTTGTGATCCGCTCACGTAGTTTGGCTGGTTGAACCCTGAAAAGGCAAAGACTGGTTCGATAAGTTGGCAATGTTCCTCGCGGGGAGACAATTGTATTACTCACTGATAGCTAGGAAGGCCTGTGCATGCGCTTTGCCCCCTGTTGGGTTGGGGTTATCAATCGGCTTGTCGAGGTTGGCTTTTATGCCTCTCACCCCGGACGGCGCACCAGCAACCGCCCAGGTGGCAATGATCATGAAGATCAGCATAAACACCTTGATAAATGCAAGTAGATTGTTGAGCAAGATGCCACCCCTACGAGAGAAGGCGTGAATCAAGCATGGAAATATCGCAATGACGATGGCAATGCCGCGGATGGTGCCTCCGTTGAGATCTCCAGCCTCCTTTGTTGGATTCGCAGCCTCCATGAGGCGCAGCGCGCAATTGATACAATTGCCGGCCATGTTTCCGATACAGATGAAGCTTATGCCATATAAGACACCGCTGAGCATCACTATGCCTTTCTTGTATCGCGGCCAAGGAAAAACGTATTGGAGATAATGGAGGTCGCCTCCCGATCGTGGGACAGATTGCTCGATACCGTCAATTACATATCGAGGTACGTTCAGCCCATACTCGACGTAGACGTGAGCTCCTGAGAGGGCATAGACGCAGCCGCAGAGCCAGAAGAGAATTGCAATGCCCGGGCTCCGGACACCCCGCATCACCGTCCTGGGGCTGTCGAAGATTCCGGTCCCTACTCAACAGTCAACGATCAGCATTGCCCTTGGCAGGCGGTTGAGAAAGCACGTAGTAACATACCTATCATTCGGTTCACCACTAGACACGTAACATCGATGAAGGTAAGTTGGAAGGGCTCTGTTGGGGCCTCAGTGACGACAATGTTCTTATCGATTCCCATATCTCTCAATATCTGTAGTGTACTTCCTTCATTGGGGTTGACTTCATTGAGAGGCCGACGGGGGCGGCCGGCTTGCTCGACAGGTTGTCTGGAGTCCATGGTTGGATAAATTGGGGAAGGCTTTGGCTAGTGGGAAGAATATCAGGTGCAATTTGAGCATAAATCTGAAGAGGACAAAACCAGGGAGACGATTCTAACGACCACCTCAGATGCCGAAACATGGAGCTCACCTTACCAGAGGACGCGTAACATAATAAATACTTGATTATGAGCTGAACGGCTCAAATAAGGTGTGCGCCATCAGACTCTAACCGGGCGAGAGGCAGAGACGGTCGAGGCTCGAGCGTAAAAGCCATGAGGCTTGGCAAAGACAAAAGACGCCACCAGTTGCCTTGTTTCGACGACTAGACCTGCTCCGCCTGCAAGGAGTGAGTTGTTTGCTCATGGCTGAGTAAATGTTGCGTAAGAGTGAGGGTGTATGGCCGGATGAGCTGGAAAGACATGC